TTTTGAGACAGGGTCTTGCTAAGTCACCTAGACTGGCCTTAAGCTTACAATCCTCCTGCCTTAGCCTCTCAATTAGCTGGGCTACAGCCATGCGGCACCATGCCTGGCTAAGTGATTTCTATTTGCAGATGAGATAATCTTGTATTTTTTCCAGCTTTAATGAGGTATAATAGACAAATAAAAATTGTACATTTTAAAAGTGTACCATGTGATGTTTTGATATGTACATATTGCAAAATGATTACCATAATCAAACTAATTAACATTTACATCACTTCACATGGTTACCATTTTGTATATGTGTGTGGTAAGAAACACATGAGATCTACTCTCCTAGTAAACTTCAAGTATGTAATATAATAATCACAGTCATCCTGTAGTACAGAAGCTTGCTAGAATTCATCCTGCATAACTGAAACCATGTATCCTTTGACCAATCTCCCCCAGCTTCTCCAGGCTCCCTGCTCCTGCAATTACCATTCTACTCTGCTTCTATTAGTTTGACTTTGTTAGATTTCATATATTAGATCTTATATGAGAAATTCTTAAGGAATACACTGAAACTTATTGAATAAGCAAGACTTTATAAAGGCTCAGTCAGTGCTTTGGAGAGATTAAAAAGTACTTGACGGTGAAATAAATACATTTTCAGATAAACCAAAATGAAGAGAATTTATTGCTAACAGCTGTACTAAAAAAATGACGGAGGAAGCTCTTTAGACTTTATTCTTTCAGGAATAAATGAGAAGTACTCAAATGGTAACTATATAGATAAGTGTAAAAGACTATTTTTCTCCTAATTTTTTTGGGGGGGTATTGGGGATTGAACTCGGGTTCAGGCCACCAAACTGCTGAGCTAAATCCCTGGCCCCTCTTTAATTTCCTATATAACTGTTGAAAGCAAAAATCCTAACAAACATTGTATTAAAAAGTATACTGTATATGGATAAAATAAAAATGACAACTATAGCATAAAAATGGGCTGGTGCTAAATATAACTGTAAAATTGCAAAATTCTTACATTTCACTTACAGTGGTACAATCAATATTAACTCTAAGCAAGCCATAAAAAGTTGTATTTTAATTCTGGAGAAACTACTAAAATATAAAATATAGTGTGTCAAAGAGAGATACAATTTAAAGACACATAACCTAAAAGAAGAAATAGGCTAAATATAAAAGAAGAGAAAAATTTACACTATGTGCAAATAATAAGCACTAAAGCTAATTAACTATATTAATATCACATAAAAGATTCCAACAGGAGTATTACACAAGATGGAGAATATTTCATAATAACAAAGGAGCCAAATAATCAGGAAAGCACAGTAATCGTAAGTATGTAAGAAGAAAAAAATAAAATGGCTGGGATGTAGCTTGTTGAGCTCAAATTAATGAAGACTAATATCATTTAAAGGGAGAAATAGAGGGCTGGGGATTTCGCTCAGTGGTTCCGCCACCTGCCTTGCAAGCGTAAGGACCTGAGTTCAATCCCTGGTACCAAAAATAAATAAATAAATAAAATAAAGAATAAAGGGAGAAATAGGAAAAACCCATACATTATACTTGGAGATTTTAACATTGTTCTGCTACTGAAGACCAGCAACCAAAAAAAGCCACTAAGGATATCTGAAAACACTATCACTTGACCTAGCCTGACATTTTTATAGCTTTAGAATATACATTCTTTTCAAATACAGATAAGCTGACTATATACTCAGCCACAAAACAAATCTCATTAAAGTTTTGTTTTGTTTTTAGACAAGGTCTCGCTAGGTAGTTCAGGCTGGCCCTGAATTCATGGCAATCTTCTTCCCTCAGGCTCCCAAGTGCTGGGATTATAGGCATGCGACACCATAACCAACTCAATTAACTTTGAAGAAATGAGATTTTAAAGAATGTTGGGCTGAGGATTTAGTTCAGTGGTTCTGCTGCCTGCCTTGCAAATGCAAGGATCTGAGTTTGAACCTTAGTACCAAAAAAAAAACAAAAACAAAATAAAACTGAAAAGACATTACAGCAAAAGAAAATTACAGACCAGTATCCCTCTAATATTTAACAAAACAATAGAAAATCAAATCTAGCTTTTCAAAAAGTCTAACACACCTGATGAAATGGAGTTTATTTCAGGGCTATACAGAATAATTAATGGAATCTACCATATTAAAAGAATAAAGGTAAGACACTATGGAATAATTTCTCTCTCTATATATGAGCCACTAATAATAAAAAGCCCTTTTAAAATTAGTAAGAGAAAACAACTTCCATAATCTGACATCTTGGTATCTAAGAAAAAATCTAATATTCAACCTAATGGTGAAATATTGAATGCTTTTCCCCTAAGATCAGGAAGAAGCGAAGCATGTCTACTCTCACTACATCTACTCAATATTGTACTAGTGCAATAAGGCAAGAAAAAAATCATAAAAAAAAGATGAAACTATTTGCAGATAACACGACTGTTTATAATCCCAGCACTTGGGAGACTGAGGCAGGAGGATCGCTGTGAGTTCAAGACCAGCCTGGGCTACATAGTGAGTTCAGGTCAGTCTCAACTACATAGTGAGACCCTGTCTCAAACAAAACAAAACAAAACAAAAAATATGGAGAGATATATTATGCTTCTGAATTGAAATGCTCAGTATTACTAAGATGTCAATTCTCCCCAAATTGACAGATACAGTCAGGATTACCATAATAATAATTCCATCTCTCCTTCTGTTTTTTCCTCCTTCTAGGTTCTGGAGATTGAACTCAGGCCCTTCAGCATGCTAGGCGAGTGCTCTACTACTAAGCTATATCCCCAGCTTTTAAAATTTTATTCTGAGATGAGGTCTCCCTACATTGTCTATGCTGGCTCATGATCCCCCTGCCTTAGCCTCTTGAGTAGCTAGGATTACAGGTGTGCGACACCATGTCTAGCTATAATCCCATTTCTTACATTCATAGCAACCTTGAAAAGGAAGAACTAGGTTGGGAGCATTTACAATAGCTGACATTTTATGAATTTCTACTAAGTTGTAATAATGAATACAGTGGGTGTGGCCACAAGGAGAGACACACAGATAAATGTCAGCAAACATAGGGTTCAGAAACAGAGCCACATTAAACGGTCATTTGATCCACCCACCCACCCCAGTACAGGGAATTGAACTCAGGACCTTGCACTTGCCAGGCAGGCACGGTGCTACTAGGCTACATCCCTGGCTGTATCATTTGACTTTTGATAAATATATCAAAGCAAATCAATGGAGCATCTTGTTAACAAATAATGATGGTAAAACTGGGTATCCACTTATTTATCTTTGTGGTGTCGAGATAGAACCCAAGGCCTCACACATACTAAGTAGGAAGGTGCTCTGTCACAGAGCCACATTCCCAGCTCTGCACATCCATGCTTTTTATGAACAAAATAGTCATCTTCCCCTGGTCCTAGAAATTCCACTCCTACATATTTATATAAAAGAAATAAAAATATATATCCTCAAAAAACTTGCATAAGAACATTCAAAGCAGCATTATTGAAGACAGCCAATAACTGGAAACAGCCAGTGTCCACAGAAAAATGGATAAACAGGGTATTCATTGAATGGATTATGTGGATCTCAAAAATATACAGGGAAAAACTTCAGAAATGTGTACACTGTATAAAGTTCTAGAACAAGAATAGTTAACATCTGGTGGGAAAGTATACAGATTAATGGTCTGCCTCTTGGTGAGTAGGGGCAGTAAATGCCTGAGAAAATGCAAGAGGCAACTTTAAACAAATTTCAAACTTTAGGTAATATCCACAACAAAGTATTTAGGAGTGAAGTACACATATGTCACCAATTTACTTTTTGTTTTATTTTTTTGGTACTGGGGGTCGAAGCTGGGACCTTGCACTTGCGAGGCAGGTGGTGGAACCACTCAGCTAAATCCTGGCCCAGCAATTTACTTTGAATGCATCAAGATACAAGAGGAGTCAGGCATGGTGATGCACGCCTGCAATCCTAGCACTCTGGGATGCTGAGGCAGGAGGATAGCAAGTTTGAGCCCAGCCTGGACAACTTAGCAACTTAGTTAAGACCCTATCTCAAAATAAGAAGAAAAAAAAAAAATGGCTGGGATGTAGCTTGTTGTGAAGGTCCTGGGCTCCAGCCCCAGAACCAGGAAGAGGAAAACAAAACAAAACAAAAAAACCCAAAAAGACTCAAGAGGGACTGAAGAATAGTTAGACAAAGCTGTACACAGACATATGATCAAACAAATAGAGAAAATCATTAATTGAGCTGGATATATAGATGGGTTTATTTATTTTCTTCCTTCCTTCCTTTCTCCCTTCCCCTCCCTTCCCCTCCCTTCCCTTCTTTCCTTTGCTTTCTGTGCTGGGAATGAACTCAGGGCTCTGGACATACTAGCCAAATGCTCTACCACTGAGCTGCTCTCAGCCATGGGTATTCTTTTAAAAACTGTTCTGAATGTTTGAAAATTTTCATAACAAAATGTTGTGAAAGAAGTGCTTTCAATTCCTCTGCTCTCTCACCTGTATAAACTATAACTGAATATATATGAAGTTGACAGGGAGTCCTATTCTTAAGAGTCATGGCTGTATCTTTTAAAAAAAATCTTTAAGAAATAAACTACACCATCCCTTCTCATCAAATGCATGTAATTCACCTGCAGAATGACTTCAGTTTCTCATTATGTCCCGACTCTGGCTCAGGTGAGAGAAGTGTGCAGTTCCACACACTGTGCCTCTGCTTAGATGCCTGTTTCTAAAGCCAAACACCTAAAGATGGGCATCTTCCCTGACTACAGCCCTTAGTACAATGAGATGTATTTGCTGAGCTTGGCATCTCAAGGTGAAATGCAAGGCTCGTACAGTGCCAACAAAATAAATCAAAAGACAGTGCCAAGAATAACAGACATTTTACTGTTAAGGATGTGCAGCTGTCTAATAAATTAAGAGATTCAATGCTTATATCTTCAAGAAAAAAAAAACTTCTGGGTTTACTTACCTTTATCAAGAGATGCTCCAGCCATATGGTAAAAACTCAATGCAGTGTCCACATCATTAATATTCTTTAGAAAAGTAAAGAAGTTCTCCACCTCCTGAAATGTCAGACCCTGAAAGAGGAGAGACAGAAAGGTAAGGAGGGCCTGTAGCAAAAGCAGCTGAAAATGCTGAAAATTCTGCAACTCAGAATCTGTGCTCAAGTCAGGTGTGGTGCACACTTGTAATTCCAACACTCAAGGCTGAGGCAGGAAGATCATGAGTTCAAGCTCAGCTACGTACTGGTAATGAGTTCAAGGCCAGCCTGGACTACATAGCAAGACCCTGTCTCAGACAAACCAAACAACTAACCAAAAACAAATCTGTACAGAGACTGAATAAAATGGTCAAAGAATATCAAATTATAGAGTTTTATCCTGAGAAAAGCAAACTGGCTAATTGCTGTCCCCTCACATATAAAATCTGATATAAAGCTGCTTGCAGTGATGGCTGGGTATATTTAATGAAAATATTTCAGAATGTTTTCCAATTAGTCACACTATGTATTATGACACATCTGTGGGCTATACCCAGTTGATCTGTTACTCATCTTATGAAGTGATATCAGAATTGGGACTATCATTTGAATAATCTGCTCACAGGCCAGTTAAGCTTTTTGAGGCGTAAGCCAATTAAAGAACAACCAAAGTCAGAGATATGTAGGGGAAGGGTTTCAGTATTTAGCACAACCCAAGCACCAGGGAGGCTGTTCATTATCTCAGTTTAAAAGCTACTAACAAAATAATTTGCCCTTTAATTTTAAATTCTATGAATGAAGCACGTGTTTTCGAAAGCTGTTTAAAGATTTGCTTATCTGAATTCTACTTTCTATGGTAGCTCAAAGGAAGCATTTGCATTAATGGGGCTGTGGGGAGTTCCTCTGCAGTGAGGAAGAGCTGTCCTACTTACTGTCCCCGACTTCTCACGCATCACACCGTGATGGAAGTGAAAGCAGTTTCTAAGGAGTGCAGACACTGGAGAGTGGCGCAGACTTCTCACAATGCAGCAGATCCTTAATGGATTGCAGAAGCTGACAAGCTTCTACTTAGTGCTGCTTCTCCTTTGATTTTCATTTCCCCAAACTACAAAGCCACTTGGGAACCCACTCCAGGATGGCAGGAACGAGGAAACTTTAATACAGACGATCCACAGTTCTTTTTCAGTATGCTCCAAACTGGGTCAAATGTACTTTCTCATTTGACAAAGGAAGAGCTAAAATACTGTCTGTATGATTCTGTCATATGACCCCGTATAATTTTCCCCTTGAGACTTGTATTATTTTAAAAACATTTTTATTATAAATATCATGACCATAGAGAAAGGTACATAAAATATGAATGTACAACTCAACAAACTGTCATAAAGCGAACACCAACAGAATCTCCATTCAGGTAAACGAACAAACTGCTGTCAGCTTCCCAGCGGTTTCCTTCCTTCCCGGAAAGCAAAACCTTTCCCAATAGGAAGTCCCAGTTCCACCCACAGCCCTAGTGATAACCACTATTCTGACTTTTAGGGGTTCACTTCCTCGATTTTTAAAAATTTAAATAGTATAGCTACCAATTTATGCACCCTTAAACAGAAAGTTTAATTTTATAAGTAGAACAATGCAGTATGCATTGTTATATATGGCTTCTGTCTTTAAAATTTGTTCGTGTTTTTGTGTAGGTCTGCACTCATTCATTTTACTGCTATAAAGGATTTTATGTGAATGCTCCACAATTTGTTTATCTATTCTAAACAGGCTATCTCTAGCTTTTGGAAATTATGACGAGTAGTATGTATTTAAGCATTCATTCAAACATTTTATGAAGTATTGTATCTACTATTTTACCAAGGGCCACAATATTGGCAGTAGACTCCGAGTCCTATGTTATCCCCTTTCCCCCTCATTTGAGGTCATTCCCTTGGCCTTGACTTGGAGTGTCCAAGATAATGGACGCTGTGGTATGCTCTTCAGTGTAAGCACTAGGCAGGCTCAATCTTAGAGAGCAGAACACCACAGGGCAGCTGCACCACGTCCCTACTGCCTCCATTGTTCAACAGGCCCAGGCCTGCTTCCCAATGGTGCCTGGTTCCACATTCTGGTGTCACAGCCTCCTTAGAAATGACACTCAGGTCCAGTGAGAGCAAGGCAGAGGCAGCACGTACTTGGTGCTCTCTGACCTCTACCTGGAGCACTTGCTGCACAAGTGCAGCTGGCCAGAGGCTATGTCTCACCACTTCAATACTGTAACTGAGTCTGCAGCCCCAGGCAGCTCTGCCCAGGCCAGGGGGCAGGAGGTGTGGAAAGCGTGTCACACATAGTCTGAGGTCATAGGAGAGCACATGGGAATCACTCTGAAACTAAATAAAAAACAGTCCTGTCCTATGGCCAGTCTTTCCTATGGCCAGAATTCTTCACGTTGGCACGATTGACAGGTAAGTCTCCCTTTCATGGGGGATGATATTCCACAAATCTCAGTGGAAAATGTGTCACACATAGTCTGAGGTCATAGGAGAGCACATGGGAATCACTCTGAAACTAAATAAAAAGCAGTCCTGTCCTATGGCCAGTCTTTCCTATGGCCAGAATTCTTCACGTTGGCACGATTGACAGGTAAGTCTCCCTTTCATGGGGGATGATATTCCAGAAATCAATAATATATGTGACAAATCTCTTAGTGGGTCAGCTGCAGAAGAAACCACAGGAATGATTTCATTAAATCATTCCCAACCAGCAAAGCTGTCTTCCTGCACTTTAGATGTTCATGAGAGCACAGCTTGATTATGATCCTACAAAGGATAGTCTGATCCCTCGTGAGGAGGTGGAACTATTGTCACGGGGGATATTTTTCAGATCATCAACAAGGATGACAGAGACTGGTGGCCGGGACAGTGGAAGGCTCCTCCAAGGAGTCAGCAGATCAATTCCTTCCCCTGAGCTGTAGGAATGACGAGTAGAGAGTATGGCTCAACCTGCTTCAAGTGAAACCCCAAGCTGCAGTCCCTTTGAGGAGAAGACTAAATACAAAGACAAATATATGGCTAAGCACGGCTCAGTTTCTGACCAGTGGGATGTTGTTTCTTATAAGAAAGCTGTTTGGCTTCTTATGTTCAAGAGAAGACCTTGGTGCCGCATGGAACCAGCAGGGTGGGTCGCAGCCACATCAAGAATGTCCTGCTTAGCCACATTCCAGAGAAGTGTGTATACCCTGCCTCACATACAGCACAACTACCAAGGAAGAGTGAGGAGGATGGGACAGAGTGCCACTTCATTTCAACAGAGAAGACAAGGAACTTCTCTTCCATGGAGTGCTTGGAGTTGGGCAGCTACCAGGACAACGCATTTTGCACCAAATTGAAAACAGTGTACCAGATTCATAAGCAGGACAAGACTGCTATCATTGACACTGATCCCCAGATCCCGAAGATTGTCACTTTCATCTTTTCACTGTGTTCACTGCATCTTCTGACCAAGGTGCTCCGATGAAATCCCTGCAGCACAACTGCGAGGCTATCCGCAGCCAGTATGCTCATTACTCTGACCTTTCACTGGTCAATAATAGTGATGAAATCCTTAAACTGCAAGAAGTCTTTGAACAGGCACGCAGCTCTCCACAGTGGGTATACGTCTCCTGGGTTTATTAAACTTGCAGAATGGGACACCTATTATGCACCCCTCTCCTGAATTTGGAGGTCCACTTCCCTTGTTCTAAGACAATCAGAGCTGCTTCAACTAGTTCTGTATCTGCTCTGCAACTGTCCTAAACAGGCCGATAGGATCCAGGCTTCTTACTCAGGCACCTGAAGGGCTGGGTTTGGTTTTCCTGATAGAGTCCTACTGATCTGGATTTCAAAAAGATGTATGGAAATTGGGAGTAAGAAATACAAGTGAAATGCAACTAGTACTAACCAAAACTTATGCACACACTCACACACACATATAAAGAGCAATGGATCCTATCCCTCTGAAGTCTGAGATCCTCCAACTACAGTAGCCATTTTTTTTTCATTTGTCTTTACTGTGGAGAAAACATTTGGAAATTTCTAAAATGCTAAAATGAAACATATGCAATAGTTATCTGCTTCTAGGAAAACTCTCAAAAGAAATAAAAATGTTGCTGTTAAAATGACAAAAAAAGAATATACCACTGGACTAGAAGCACAGGTTCTATGCTCCCACTGCATATTATGGACAGAAACACCGAGACCACTTTACTTTCTCCTCCATCAAATGACATGCAAAGGTGAAAGCAAATGTCTATCAACGGATAAAGGGATAAACAAACTGACACACACTACACCACATACGGACACACTGGAATATCATTCAGCTTTTAAAGGAAGAATTTTTTTTTTTGTGGTACCGGTGATCAAACTTGGGTCCTTGCTCTTGGTGAGGCAGACGGCGGAACCACTGAGCCAAATCTCTGGCCCTAAAGGAAGGATATTTTGATACAAGCTACAACATGGATGGACCTTGACATTACACAAATGAAATCAGCCAGCCACAAAAGGACAAAACACAAAACTGTATAGTTGCATTTATAGAGTGGTCACATTCATAGAGACAAGTAGAATAGTGGTTGCTAGGGAGAAGGAATGGGGAGTTTGGGTTAGTTGGTAATGGATGGTGGTGATGACTACCCAACAATGTAAATATACTCAGTGCCACTGGACTGTACACTTAAATATGGTAAAAGTGGTAACTTTTATATTATATGTATACATACATATATATATATATATTTGTATTTTAACATATACACAATACATGCTAAAGGGTTTTTTTTGGTGTACTGAGATCAAACTTGGGACCTTGTGCTTACAAGGCAGGTAGCAGAACCCTAAGCTAAATCCCTGGCCCTATGCTAAATATTTTTTAAAACTTTTTTTTATTAAAGCACAGATTCCTGTAGGTGTAGGGCCATGGAGGTCTGAATTGTGGAAAGTATTTTTTTGTGTGTGTTTTTCTGAGACAGGGTCTCACTATGTAGTTGAGACTGACCTTGAACTCACTACATAGCCCAGGCTGGTGTCGAACTTACAGCAATCCTCCAGCCTCAGCCTCCTGAGTGCTGGTATTATAGGC